GCCGGGAGGACCAAGTACGCCGCTGCGCCCCTGGCCGGCCCCGCCCACCTCCCCTGGAGGCTGGAGTCCTGGGTGCCTTGGCGCGTAGTTGGCGTCGCATCATTGCTTGCCCAGCGTGCGGGTGGCACTGCGGCCCCTCGGTTTCCTGTCCGGGACCCAGAGCCTTGAGTTGCATTTGCCCCGAGGTCGCATCCCGCTGTATCTTGGGACAATCCAGGGGCCAGCCCAGGGACCCCGCGGTGTGCTGGGGGCTCAGGGCCTCTCGGCAGGAAAGTCCTCCCAGTAACTCCTCGCAGTCTGGACCTGCCCAACCCTCCTCATTCATTCGCCCCGAAGGTTCTAGACCTTCCAGGGGAGGGGCTTCGTCCTTTGGCGCTGTGCCTTTAAGAACTGGGCCCTCCGCAGGCACGTGACTGTCGCCTAGCAACGAGACGCGGCGCCACAACCTAGGCTGCGCGGAGCTGGTTTTCTGCAGGGACCAAATGTCGGAGGAAAACCCCCAAGAGTGTGCGGAGCCTGGAGCGCCTAAGGCCGAGGCCCCCCCGGAGAAGACCAGCGACTACTACCGCGTGAGCGAGAACCTTCCCGTCCGGTTCAACAACCCAGGGTGGTTTCGAGGCTACAGGTGAGGAAGACGGGGTGATTTGGGGTACGTGGAGAAGAGGGGCGCGGGGTGGCTGGCCCTGCTGCTGGGCGCTCAAGTAGGCCTGTGCCCTCACCACAGACCCCCAAGTTCCTGGCCCCAGGTCGGCGTCTTGGTGTCCTTACAGCCAGTGAGGCCGGGGAGCTGTCCCGGGCTGTCGTTGGCGGGGTCAGAAGTGGGGGGACCCCAAGTCCCAAGCCCAGTTCTGCTCCCAGCCTCCCGGCCTCGTGACCAGGGTGACCCTCCTCCTCCCACCCTGGACTCCCGTATCGGCGCCTTCTTCCTCTGCATTGGTACAAGTCTGGCCTTGCCGTGCTGACACTCAAATGTAGAGGGACCTGTTGGATGGCAGGGTCTGGGAGCTGGGCTGTGACTCCTGACAGTGTAACTTACCTCCCCAAGGAGTAGCAGGCTGTACCAAGGCCCTGTGGTGGCCGAGGATTGCGTGTAGCCCCAGGCACTCATTAGGGTATTGGCCTACCGCCGCCGAGGGAGCAGGGCCACCAGCCCGCAGAGGAGGCTCGGAAGGCAGGCCTGCCAGCCCAGGGCAGTCAGCCTGCACGGAAGGGAGCCCACATCTGTGCTGCACACCAGCCTGGACAGTCACTCTCCTGGGGGGCAGCGCCGGCAGAGCTCCATCGGGCAAACACTCAAGGGCTGTGGCTTGGGCAGACTTGGAGTGAATGGGTGGGAGAGTGTGCATTTCTCCTCCACAGAGTCCAGCAGGCTGCCTCAGTGTACAGGACCAGCAACCAGGTGTATGGGAGCAGAGCACCCACTGTGCACGAGATGCCGGTATGTGGGAAGCGGGTCACAAAGGGGAGGCGCTGGGCAGTGTGGAAACAGGGCAGCGTGGGAAGAGGTGAACAGATGCACAGGCAAGTGTGTGGAACGAGGAAAGCGCGTGTAGACTTGCTTCTGCATGACTCGCTTCCATGCACACAGCCACACACCACCCTCACTTGTGCAACGGCCTTTACACAATCACACAGCCCTCACACACACCGCCTTCACACATGCACGTAGCCATTTCTCTCAACCTGAGGTCACCAGCTTTGAGGCAAACGGTTACTGTCTTCTCTCCCTCTGTCTGAGTTAAACTTTCTTTTATGAGCTACCCACTCGTGACCAAGAGGCAGCACCTCTGAGGGCTGAGGCTGCAGAGAAGGGAGCGCCGGTGGGTGTGGGCTCTGGGTGCTCCTGTGGACTGAGCTCCCGCCCCAGGCCGTCTTCCTCTGCTCCCCGTAGGTGCAGGGGACGTGCCATTTGGGCCCCCGTGGTATCCTGTCATGGCTGTGTGCAGATGTCCCCCGAAAGCCTCATGCAGCCCTTCTTGAAGGTTGTTAAATCTGGGATGTGTGATGCTAGGATTCAGGGCGTGTGATTTCTAAACCACCACATGCGAGTGACTGGCTTGGCTCCGCCCTAGTCCCTAATCCTAGTCTGAATGAGATAAAAGGAGCAGGAAGACACTGTTAAGGTCTCTTGTAGCCTTTGCTGTCTTGTGTGTGTCATGTTGTTTCTCCTCTGTGAGGTCAGTTTGTCATCCCTGCCAGCCAGTTATGGACTGAAACAAACCCTCCTTTAACTTTGGGTTTTGGGTGTTTGTATCAGCAATGAGAAAAAAGCAACTAACACATATCCCCAGGTCACCAGGGCCATCCAATTTGGGGTGAGAATGTGGTAGGGGGTTCCCCCAAATGGTCATCATGTTGAAAAAACTGGCAATTGCTATTGAGTTGTGTTGGGTGATGGAGCTCTTGTGAGAAGATTTATCATCAAAAAAGTTTCTGGGGGGCTCAGTGAGTGGTAGAGCTCTTCCTAGCATGTGTAGGGAAGCTCTGGATTTATTCCCCCTAGCAATACACACACACACACACACACACACACACACACACACGCATGCATGCACACGGATACATTTCTTTAGGCACTCTCCCAGAATCAAGGGCTTCTTCTGACCCTTCAACGGGGATCAGGTATTTCCATGAAATAGCGGGTGCACTGGCTGAAATGGGTCCAGATGTTTCTGTTTCCCAGATGTCTCTACAAAAGTGGAGTGGGGCTTCTGTATTCACCGGTGCTAGAAGGCAAGGGCAGGTGAGGCACTGGGTATCAGAGACAAGTTTCAAGTTTCGAAGAAGGGCCTTCCTGCTGCTTGGCTACCTGCTCTTAGCAGAGCTGGATCTTGAGTTTCTTGACCAAATGCAGATGCTGGACCTCACGAACAGTGATCGGTGCTTACATTCCATGTGGGAATAGAAATTGAAAGTGTTTTGTGCTGGGGATGTAGCTCAGTGGCACCAGGCCTGACTCACAAGCACAAGGTCCTGAGTTTGATCCCTGGGACCTAAATAAATAAATGAAGGTGTTTTGGATCTTCTGATGTTACCACGTATTCCTTGGAACCCACGGAGGGTCCACCACCGTTGGGGAGCCCTGAGGTGTGCAGTGGACTCTGGGTAGTAATTCAAGCGTCAGCGTCAGCTCAGGTTGACAGATGGCTACATGCATTATGTGGTGGGAATGTAGTTTGGGAATTCTCTATCCTTTACACTCAATTATTTCTGTAGATCTAAATTTTCTTTTTAAAAAAATCACACTGAAGCCATTTTCTCTTTGTCCTTGCTTCCTGCCGAGGAGACAAAACCTCAGGTGACATAGATCACCTGCCTAGGGCAGCACACCTGGCAGAGGGTGCTTCAGGATACTGTCTGTGGGAATAATTCCTACTCTGGGCCCCCGCGCACCACCCGATGAGAGTTCAGCCATACTCAGCCCCTGTAGCCAGCTCTTTCCCAGACGCATAGGCTGGTAGCCTTTGGGCATCAGGATTTTTTATGATGCTTTTAATTCACGGTTGCTATTGAAGCCCACTGCTATCTTTACAGGGATGCTCCCCAGGTCCAGGCCTAGGTCCTAGCACACCCCAGAAGGGCCACCCAGCACCCCCAACAGAGGCACAGAGCAGTGGGGCATGGAGCCTGATCTTGGGTGGGCATTCCAGGCACAGGACCCAAAACAATCCTTTCCTCTTTATAAGGGATTCTCCCCAGTACTTTGTTAGATGCTAGCAAAGCTGGCTAATATACCCATGGGTGAAGATACTACTTTTATTCCACGGGAGAAAAAAAATTCAGGTTGAGAGAGGTTTAGTAATTTTCCAAGAAAGCACAGCTGGGAAAAGGAGACCCCAGGCTCGTGTTCACCCTCACGCCCAGGTGTGCAAATGCCACACCCAGCTGGCTGTGTAGCTTCTCTTCTGTCCATAGAGTGGCAGGAGAAGGCACTATGAATAATCACTTTTCCACGGTGGGCTTGGTCGGGGGCAAACTAGGCCACCTTGCACACCCTGGCTCCTCCGCTTCCTAAGAACGGAGAAGGTGTTTGTTTGTTTGTTTTCATGGCAAATTCTTATTCTTCTTTGCATCATCCCCAGCTGTTGTTCAAGAGCATTATCATGCGTCATTAGTCCTGCTGTTGCCTTTCTCTTCCAGAAAGTATTTTATCCAAATTCAAGTAAGTTTTCCAGACAGCTCTGGGTGAGTGGAATGTTCCAGGATAATACGTTCAATGTCTGCACGGAGAGGAGCATTGTGACGGGCCCCGACAACTACATCACACCCTGCGACAGGCTCAACTTCCACCCCAGTTACAATGTCAGTAAACCGTCCATCTGTGACTAAGGCAGCGAGACCCCTCCCCAGAGTCTTCTTCCCCTCCAGCCGCCACCCCGTGGCTTGATGACTTGGAAAGGTACAAATTTCACTGCCTTGTCTGAAAAAAATTTTTTTTTCTCCCTGGAACAGAACAGTGTGCAAAAAAATGGGCTATGAGGGCTGCGGATTTAGCTTAGTGGTTCTGCCACCTGCCTCTCAAGTGCAAGGACCCGAGTTTTAAAAAAAAAAAAAAAAAAAAAAAAAAAAAAAAAAAAAAAAAAGAAAGGGCTATGATGTTATGTTTTTTCTATTTTATGTATAAGGTGTACACAGAAAAGAGACGCTGATAGCTTGAATTTCCATTAAAAGTGTTGCAAGAGCTTGAATTTCCATCTGTCCTGACGTTTGCATCCCAGCCCCGTGACTGTGGCCTGGAAGTGAGGGGCTGCCTGGTCACCCGCCTGTATCTTATGTGACAGCCATGACTGTGTACGTGATCACTTGCACCCAAGGTGACACTGCAAACTCCCCTCAGAGGCCTGGGGTGCCCCACTGGGATGCAGGGTCGCTGGGGGACAGGAAGAGAAGGTACCGTGTCACAGAGCTCAAGGTGACTCTGCCTGTGATCCCTTCGAGATACAGAGTGCTGAGCCATGCCGTTCTCCAGAGGGGGGCATCTGTGTTTGTTTTAAAATTTCATTGAAAGGCTGAAAGAAAGCAGGTGCACAATAATTTTCGTAGGTGGGGGAATAACTCCATTAAGTGGATTTTCATCTCTGTGTAGTCCTGAATCAGTGTGAGCCACGAGCCATGCGGTCATCAATACGAAGAAAACTGGGGCTGGGGATTTAGGTCAGTGATTCTGCTGCCTGCCTCGCAAGCGCAAGGTCCTGAGTTCAATTCCCAGTACCAAAAAGAAAGAAAGAAAGAAAGAAAGAAAATAAAGAAAACTGTAACAATTCCTTCAGATGCAGATTTTTTTTTAAAACTCCACGAGAGTAAGGTGTGCTCATTATAGGAAATTTGGAGAGTACTGAAACTAGAAAAAAAGAAATCATTCTTCTATGCTATCGATAACATTTTGTGTAGAGATTTTTTTTCTCCAGGGATTCTACCCACTTATGAGTTAGGGAAGAAATTAATCATCACAACTGTTGGTTGTGATTAATACACTCAAGTAAACATTTGGCAGCATTTTTAAATATCCAATTCGGGGAGAAATGGTTTCCAGAGAAAATCAATAGAGCTTAAAAAAAACATTCAGAGCTGAGCCTGAAGCCAGGATCTATGTAATGTCTTTCTTTTGAGTTGGAAAACCAGCAGTCCACACATCAAACTGCAGGAAAAGGTCCTGTGATCCTTAAAAATATCAAAATGCTGTTCCAGGGATTTAGCTCAGTGGTGTCACTGCCTGCCATGCAAGTGCAAGGTCCTGAGTTCAGTCCCCGGTACCAAAAGAAAAAAAAAAAGGACAAAGCAGTCTCAGCCGGGTCTCTACCATGCTGAAAAGAATGGGCTCCTTCTCCGACCATGACTCTGAGAAGCAAGTTGGCAGCTGTAGGTCCAGCGGTGCCATCAGGCCAGGCGACTGTTTTTCCTCCGACTGGTAACAGCTGAGCACCCGGCCTGCGTGAGGAGACAGAGTCACTGTCACTGTGGCAATGCGCTGGTCCCAGGGACCACTGTACAGGGCGGAACCCCCAGTTCTGGGCTGAGGCACCAGCAGGGGCCGGCCCTGGAGGACCCATCAGCAAATAAGACCTTCTGGGTGTTCGCAATGCTGGCACCATGGGGGCGCGCTGAAACTCTTGCGTTGGTCATGGCCAATAAAACACCATTTCTGTAGCAGCCACTGCTGAAGGAATGTGAAGTCAGTCTCCAGAAGAATCTAGAGTGTCTGACAAGATGAAAACCCCAAATACTTCCATGTCAGTCTATTTTCTGTGACTAAATCACAACACCCAGGCTGGTTTTTTTTTTTTTTTTTTTTTGAGACAGGGTCTCAGTATGTAGTTGAGACTGAGCTGGAACTCACTATGTAGTCCAGGCTGGTCTTGAACTCACAGGGATCCTCCTGCCTCAGCCTCCTCAGTGCTAGGATTATAGGCGCGCACCACCACGCCCCGCTGGGCTGGCTAATTTATGAGAGGTTGATTTGGTTCCCACAGCTGGAGGCTGGAGGTCCCTGAACCTGGGGTCTCTGCTCCGCACCTACCAGGGCCTCCCTGCTGCATCTGGGCATAGCGGAGGGTACAGCAGGTGGGGCTGGGCAAACATATGAGCCTGAGCCTGGGTCTCCCTGCCTCTCCTGATCAAACCATTATGCCATCCTGGGGCCATGCCCTCAACAATCTCAGCTCCTCAGACCACCTCCAGACTCCCTAACAGGTCACATCTCTCGAAATGTTAACATTGTCCGTCTTCCCAGGAAGTCAGGAGCTGCTCAGGTCCCGTCTCTGCGTCCTCCCTCTCCCCTCCATTTCTCTGCATCTTAGGGTTTTCAGAGGGCTTTGACATCATCTCACCTGATCCTTACACCTGGAGAAAGCCTTAAATGGTGCAGCTTCACTTACAGATGGGAAAACCAGGCTCCAGAGGATGTGTCCTGCAGCAAGCCTTGCCTTGTCCTCCCGAGAATGTGCTGGGAGCAAAACGCAAGGCTTCCAGCCCCTGGCCCTAGAGATGGAGCCCCAAGTTTCTTCAGTCAAGGAGGAACCACAGTGATTAGACGTGTCAGGACCTGCATCTTTAACATATTTCCAACCTGAAGTCTTTGATAAACAAATAAAAGTTTAGATAAACCAACCTAACTGAGGGCTCAGAGAGCAAGCTGTGTGACAACCGCATGCAAAACAGATGGCTAACAAAATAAAAAGGGAACGGTCTGTGATCATTCCTCCTCCCTGTGTGTGCTGCTTTCATAATCTTAAGTCCCTCCTGGAAAAGGTGGGCGCCCCGTTTAGGGTGACAAGTCAGTTTTCACGGCGATTTCTGCACCCCCTCCACTCTGAGTGTGAACGGCCTTGGCTGGGTGTGGCCTTTTCATTTCACTTGGAAAAAAAAAAAGTTTCACATCACTTTACTAATCATTTAATTTAGCTTCTGGGTTGGTTCAAAACCAGTCACTTCTTACTCTAAAAGTACATTTTCATTGACATTTCTGTGTTTTTTCCCCCTCCAGCAACCTTTTATCTTTTAATTATAATCAATTAGAATGAATGGTTTCAAATGTATAGTAACAGATATTGATATGAATAAAAAGCTTTTGTATTCAGTGCACAAAATACCAGGAACCCTCAAAGATTTTGCAAATAATGGTATATCCACCCCTCAACACACACACACACACACACACACACACACACACGCACACCAGGCCACAACACTGGCTATAAACCGAGTTGTGATTTGCATACTGGTTGTGGGTTGTGGGTTCTGTGCTGGCCTCTTGTTCACTCGAAACACTGCTTTCCATTATTAGGGGGTAAGGGATGGAGATAAGGGCATAATACCTTTTATTTTTCTATGAGCAGATAAGATACTATTTTTATGATACTTAAGATACTTAATTTTGTTTTTTTGTTTTTTGTGGTACCAGGGATTGAACTTAGCACCTTGTGCTTGAGAGGCAGGCGCAGTGCCACTGAGCTACATCCCCAGCCCCATGATACTGATTATTTTCCAATGCAAATGAATCTCATGTTGGAAAACCTGCTGTCCGATCCAGGAGAAGGTCCTTCTGGTCCTGTGAATTCCCACCCCGGAAGACCAGGCACCTTAGAATCAGGTCTCCTCCCTATTCTTGGTGTTAAGTGAACGGGAGCCCCTGTCTCCCTCCCTGGAAATGAGGTCACCTGACCACCTCTGGGTCGTAGCAGTGACAACCTTGCAAAGAGCTGGGCTGATAACACACAGCCAACAGAAAGGCCCGGTTCTACGGAGCAGACGCACATCTATCTGGGTGCTGCGCTGTAGCTGCACTTCCCGCCCCATCAGATCGGCAGAGGTACCAGGAGAGGGCTAAAACACACAGATGCCGTCAAGCCCCTCCCACAGCTGGGCATAGCGGACCTTGGCGTTGGCCTTGAATCACATGGGAGGTGTCAGCACCGGCCAAGCTGACCTAGCGCATAGGGTGTGGAAACACACACTCAAGCCATGTGGCAGGTGGGCAGTGCCAGGGATGGGCATGCCAGTGCAGTCAGGTTTACATCCAGGTGTGTAAACAACGGTGGCACAGAAGCCTGCCCACTGACCCTGAAGGGTACTGAGTCACTGCTGAACGAGGGTCCCACAGGTCACCCTACTGAGCCATCGGGACGGCCACCCATCAGAACAGCGTTTAAACAAGCCACTCCAAGATCCTAATGAGATAACTGACAGTGTGAAACACGAAGAAAAGGACTAAAGGTGTAGGGAAAGTGGGAAGGGTAGGGGAAAGCTAATAAGGGAAAAGAAAAAAATAGGAGAAAATGGAAATAAAGTGTTTATAAATGGGGATGGGAGGAGGGGGTGGAGGGCAGGGACAAGGGGAAAAAATGAGAACCAAGACCTGTCGGGTAAAGGTACAAGATCCCAATGGTGAATAACTGTACTGTATACCTAAAATGTACTGAGGAACACAACCTGAAAAAACAGGCCACTCCTCCCAGGGACAGCAAAGCCTGACCTGAGGGACCCGCAGTGACCACCAGGAGGTCCCGGCAATGACGCACACCTCTTCCCGCAACGGAAAATGCCACACACACGCACACCCAGCCTCCACAAGTTGTCCTTGGTGGGGGCAGCAGCTGCAGCCTGCACTGTTCTGGCAGGGGCCTCAGCTTGGGAGGACCAGGTAACAAGTACCTTGGGGAGACGGGAGTGGCCTCCCACTGGCAGGGAGGGGTCTGGAGCTCACTGTTTCAGTTTGAAGCTACCCCTTTGCTGGCAGTCACCAGGGTCCCCTGGTGTTGGACCTGCGGTTCCAACACCTTGCAGAAACCAGGCTGCTCATGCAGACACAGTAGACAGACCACACAAGCTCATTTGTGGGGAGTGCTGGATTTATTCATTAAAAAAAAAAGTCCTTATATACAAAACAAGCTGATTTCTTTTTGCAACGGTTCAAAGCACTTAAAAAATAATTAAAGGTACAGCACAGATTACATGGAGCTGTCTTTTTCCCCCCAGAAGCACTTAAGTGAACAAAGATGCCACAACGAAGCTGTCACAAGTACATCGAGACGGCTCAGGACAGAAAGGGACAGCAGGTCCGGCTCCACACACCTCCAACCTAGCAGGTGCGCCGTGCACAGCAGAGGGCGTGGGTCCGCATTTGGGCAGAGAAATGAATTAGCCAGGTGCACAGGGCTAGAAAATCCACTCCCAACTGAGAACACTGACCAAATTCAGCTACAGAGTAGACGGCACCGCAGCTAAACTCCAACAGCAAGTGCAGCACCTGGGTGAGTGACAGTCACAATGCAGACCTCGTTACCATCGGTGCCCAGAACGGCTCTGTCCCCAGAGGAGCCATGGGTGGCGCCTCTGCCCCAGAGCAGAGGGCTGGGAAGGCAGAGACCTTAACACCAAGGACAAGGGCCACCACTGTGACCTCGCTGGCTCAGGTCCTGGAGAGGCTTGTCCTCAGTACTGGGTTTCCGTCGGCGGTGACCACAGCATGTGGGGACCGAACACCTAGCCTCTGTGCTTATTCACTCGTGCGCACACCGCAAGGACAGGACCATTACCACGCACGTGTGCAGTTACCATTCAGAACCATGACTGAAATGATCACAGCGGCTCTCAGGTCCAGAGAGGATCACTGAGGTGCTCAGGGCATCCAGGGACTGGACGGGCCAGACACCGGAAGACCAAGCCGTCGCAGAACGAGCACCGCTGGGGTCTCAGCTGATTCCCACGTGAGGCAGAGAAGGGGCAGTGTGCTCAGCGGCCATTGTGCTTTCGAAGGCTGCGGCTGCAGTTTTCAGAGGAAGGGAGCTGGCCTGGGCACCGGGCGTCCTTCAGTACTGTCCCAGGAGCTTCCCGATGGGCACCTCGGGCACGCACTTCCCTGCTTCCCCAGAGGGCAGGTTCCACACCAGCCAGCCGCCCACCAGGGCCGGGTTGTCTCTGGCCCTCACGGTAACATAACCACCAAGTGTTTGCTCATCTAGAACTTGTACGCTGAACACAGAAAACTGCAGTTACAATAACGAACAACCGTATTTTTAAAAAATATTTTTACAGCACTTTAAATAATTTACAAAAAGCTACAAAAACCATATTTACTGGGACACGTATGCTAAATAAAAACATCCGTTTCATGTTAGTGTACATATGTACAGTGCTATCTATATATAAGGGACTCCAGTTTTCCCTCTGTGACTTCGATTACACACGTACATACGCACACACGTACATACGCACGCACGCACACGCCCACTGCTGTCCTCAAATGCAACCAGAAACAGGAAACCCATCACAACTTGAGGACTTTGCCCTTCACCACGGAGGGGCCGCCACTGTCCTCCACAGAAGTGTCACTGAATTCGCTGGCATCACTGCCCAAGGCCTCCTGGTCCTGGTCGTCCCTGTCGATGACCCTGCGTTGATACCTCAGGTCGAAAATGTTCTCCTCTGAGCCCGAGTTCTTCTTGTTCTGCAAAGCAAGCCTGGCCTGGGCCTTCCTGTGGGGCCAGTGCCTGCCATCCTTCCTCGCAAGCAGGTGCGGGCTCCCAAACACAGGGCCATGGCCAGTGGGGGTCTCCCTGAAGGTAGAGAAGGAGGGGCCCTGCAGAGGCAGGCCCAGGGGGGCGCGGAAGAGCCCGGGCCGCATCCCTCCCCAGGGGATGCTCTTCCCAAAGTGAAAGAGCTGGGAGGACAGCAGGGAGGAGAAGCCCGGAAAGGCTGGGCCCTTCCTGGGGTCAGAGGAGAGGCCTGGTGCGCCCTTGGCCTGTGCCTCAGCTGCCCTCTCTCTCTCGGCCCCAAGGCCCCCGGTCCACGTCGAGTCCCGAACGTCCGAGTTCAGTGCCCACAGGCTGGGCAGCCTGCTCTGGTGAGCGAGGTCACTCCAGGGGAGAGAGAGGTCGACCTGGGGTCCTGGGCTGGGGGTCAGCAAGCTCTGGCTCCCATAGTTCAGGTGAAAATTTCTCCCGGTGCTTCCGGCCTCAGCTGCCGCTTTGGCACAGCTGGGCAGCTGGCCAAACACGCTTTCGGCAGCGGCAGGCTCAGCCCCTCGCGGGCTCTGGTCTTTGTGAGCATAAGCGTTTCTCCGGCTTGCAGGGAAAACTTTGGCAGAGACAGTCCCGCTGGTGCTCTTGGGAAGCGCCGGCTCACACCTGCCCGGAGCAGCAGGGACTCGGGGGACGTTCTCGGTGCGGGGGGTGCCCTTCCGGCCTGGAACGAAGAGGCTGGCTGTGCCTGGCAGCCCAGCTTTTTCTGCAGCCCTCGGTCCCTCTGCAGGTGGAGGGGCCTCCCTGGCCCTCTGGCTGCGTGTGCACACACCACGCTGCAGGCCCGGGGCCAGCTCTTTCCGGCAAAGCACCTCTGGCCTGGCTGGACCCTCTGTTCCAAGAACAGTGGGGGCTGCTCCTTCAATTTCGGAAAGGCTCACTGACTCCTTGGCCTTTTCTGCCAAAAACTTCTGGATCTCCAGTTCGATGCTGTCGTCACTGTCCACCGAACTATCCTCAGACAGGGAGCTGGGGCTGCAGGCCGAGCAGGCAGGGTCTCGGGCTCCCGTCTCCCTGGAGAACACAGTCCCCTCTGGGGCCCTCCGCTGTGGGAAGGCTGGGGCCGCATCCTCGTCCCCCAGGCTGGCCGACTTTATAACCTCCGCTGAACCGCCCAGGACGCCTGGTGGTCTCCTCCCCGGGCCAGCTCTGCTGTCCCGGCTGGACTTCGACAGGCAGCTCTGCAGCACCCGGGGGCCTCTGTCTTTCCAGTGTCCAGGGAGGCCCCCCAGTGGATCCACGAACCGCGTCTCGGTGGTGCTGAACCTGACTTTCTTCTTGCAGGCAGCCCGGGGGTCCCTGTTCCTCTTCTTCAGCTTCCGCTTGGATTGTAACAGGTCCTTGATGGCTGTGTCCAGGTCCGCATCGCTGTCCAGCGAGCTGCTCTTGTCCTCCGAGCTCTCCTTCTCGCCCACACCCTGTCCTTCTTCTGCCTGCCCGGCGGCCCTGGGGCCTTGAGACAGGCCCAAGTCCCTGAGGCCGACCGTCCTGGCGGGGGCAGGTGGGGCCCTGGCCTCACCCTCCCTTCCTGGTACCTCGCCGGCTTCTCCCTGGCCAGGTGGGTCCCGCACATCCTGGCCAGGCTGAGCCCTGCTCAGGCTGTGGTCACCGTCCTGGGCACCTTCTCTCCCCTCCCTCGTCTTCTTGGGTATGGATGGCCTCACGGCATTGCTGCCGCCTCTCCGTTTCCTTCTGCAGCTTGGTGACAGGTCCGGTGTTTTATTAGACGGCGGGGCCTTGGGATCCCCGGCCTGGCTGTTGGGGCCAGGTGGCAGCAGCGGGCCCTCCGTGGGCTGCAGGAAGCTTTCGGCTCTGGCCAGCATACTCTCGGACTGGGCCTTGAGAGCCAGAAATGTGCGGATTTCCTGCTCTATGCTGTCGTCACTGTCCACGGAGCTGCTGTCGCCGTCGGAGCGGGAAGGCACATCTGGGTGACGCAAGCACGGATTGGCAGAGGGAGGCCCGGCGCTGTCCTCCACAGGGACCGGCAGGATGGTTTTGGAAATGTCCAGGATTGCTTCAGCACACATCAGCTCTGCGGATGTATCTGCCCGGCACAATGCCCGTTCCACACACTCAGCGCTGGTGCTGGTGCTTACCAGAGGTGCGGGAGCTTTGGGGTCCTTCACGAGCTTGGAGGAGGGGTCCAGCTCCAGGACCCCCAGGCCAGGGTCTGCAGCTTTTGGGGCTACTGGCTTCTTCTTGCTTGGTGCCCTCCGGTGGGCCTCACACAAGGCACTTTTCCCGGCGCTGCTTGTGCCACCGGCGGGAGGGCCGGGCACCATCTCTTCTCTGAGCTGGGCTCTCGGCAGCGCATCCCCACTGCCCTCTTTCCGGGTCTTTTCCAGCTGGTACAGCTGAATGGCCTCTTCGATGCCATCGTCACTGCTGGAGTCTGACACCTCCTGCACCAGGGCCGGGCTCCTCGTCTGCCTGGCCCTGCGCCCGGCACCTGCGCTCCTCCGCACCCCACCTTTACTCTGTGCCGCCTCTGGTTTGGAGACAGCCGGCCTTGTGCCGCCCATAGTCTCTGGCTCCGGGCTGACCTTAAGCCGGAGGCTCCGGGGCTGCGAGCTCATCTTCCCTACCCGGGGAGGCTTACGGAAGACAAACTCCTTCGCCGTTCCCCTCAGGTCCTGCCGAGGGGCCACCCTGAGTGGGGGCTCTCTGTTGGATTTCAGTGTTGCTCTGGCTGTGTCTTCCTTTGGGTCTGGGCCTTTGTCCAGGGACCCGTCACTTCTGGGGTTTTCCTGTTGTCTTTTCTCATGCAGAAACTGTTCGATCTCCTCTCGGATGCTCTGTTCAAAGGAGTCCTCGCTGCTCACGCTGACAGGGGAGACAGAGCCCTGGTCCTCGCCAGCCCCCACAGAGCCGCCAGAAACACTGCTGGAGACAGGGGCAAGTTTGGGGGCACCCAGGGCAGGTGGGGTGCTGCTGTGGGGAGGCTCCAGTTTGCCCCTGCTGCCCCCAGCCGAGACCCTGCCAGGCGGGGCGGCCCCAGACCCAGACTGTGAGCCTCCGTTCCTGGCCTTCAGGTACTCCTGGATGGCCTCCTCGATGTCCCGGTCCACGGAGTCATCGCTGTCCGAGTCCAGCACCAGGGGCCCGAAGTCTGCAGCCTTCCCTTCCCCTGGGCGGTCACAGCGGGTGGCAAGGCCACAGGCAGTGAGGGAAGGGGCCTGCTCTCTGCACACGGCCAGGCTGGTGGCCGGCCTGGTGTCCCGGCACCTCTCTGCCTTCTGGCTCCTCTGTGCGAGGCGCTCATTGCTCATGCCCAGGGACACCCTGTCCTGCTGCTGCAGCGTGCTGATGATCATCTGCACCTTGGCGCTCACTGAGGCTCTGGCAATGTCCTCTTTTGACTCCGAGAAGCACCCGGGAAACCTAAAGCTCCCCGGCGGGCTGAAGGCCTCCCATTGGGACTGGAGTGCGACCACTGGAGGGGCGTTCATGAGAAACATCCTAGCGGACGGGGCAGGCGACAGGGAGCACTGCTTTACCTTGCAGCTGTCTTCACATCCTGTGAAGAAAGAAAGCGCCGTACCTGACTTGACTAAGGTACCAGGGACATCAACAAGCATCGCGCATGGCCACCGAGAGGCGGCCTCCCTGGGCTATACCGCATTCAGGGGCCCTGGGGTCCTTGCACAAGCTACCTATGCTGGGGCCTCAGTTTCCTCCACCGTGAAAGGACTTCCTCCCTCTGAAGGAAGTCCAGTGTTCCAACCGCGGGTGCTGCCCCCACCCCAGCCCTTCCCATCCCCCTCCGAGCTTGCATCGCCTCTGTGAGAGGAGAAGAGAGGCTTTCTTTACCTCCGAAGGCTGTCAGGAGGAGCCTGCAAATGCTTCTGTGCACGTGAAAAAGAACAGCTCTTTCTTAGCAAATGCAGGGCAGGCGCAACTTCACCGGCAGCTTCATTCCTGCTGAGATCGGCGCTCCTGGAACAAAAAGTTGCACAATGCAAGCAACTCAAAACTTATTTCCCTGGCTGGCTTCCACAGCCGCTCTGACAGAGTCTTTGCGTGTGAAAATGTTAAACGAATGAGCGCAGAAATCGCCCAGAGTCACATCCTCTTTGCATCCCGTGTGGTTACTCCCTGGTTTCTCCTTGGGAACTGCACGAGGAAGATGGGTGCACAGAGCTGGCCTTATCAGAAAGGCTTGAGACCCCCATACTTCGAGAGGGGGCACAGTGTAGTGGCACACAGTCAAAGAAAAATGCCAGTCGTACTGCACACCTGTTAATTCTCCATAGACTGTTCCAAACCCCCAAAACTGGAGCGTGGTGGTGCTATTCAGAAGTAAGGGAGTCCCCCAAGGCTGACAACAAGGAGAAAGAGCAGCCCCAAACCTCAGGGCTGGGGATCCTGTCCTCAGGCCAGGAGCCGCCTTCCTGACAAGCTCCTGCCCAGAAAAGGTAGGGCTGGCCACCTAGACACAGACGCGTTCAAGTGGTGGAACCATCAAGTACCTGTAGGGCACCACAGATTCCTAAGCAACTGCTCAGAAAGTGAAATTGAATCGTTAAGACTCTATTGCAATTACTTGCGATTCTCCTCTGGTCCAGGCACGCGCTCCGGCAGGCTTTAGGGATGGGGTCTTGGCTGCTCGGCTCCCAAGCTTGCGAAGCATTCTAAGTCAGCTTTTAAACAGGTTTTCCACTACTGGAATCAGAGATAATCAGAGACACCCAACTCAGAGACAGAAGCTCCATTTCACGGATGTTTTTCAGGGAAGACCTATCATGGATGTAACGTCTCAAAATTAAATTCTAGAAGGGCTTATCCTGAGACCAAGCACAGTACAGTCATCGCAGCTCATTCACAACTCTTCTGGGTTTGTGGGTGAGGTGCTGGGGAGAGAGAGTGTGTAAGTCAGCTACCACTTCTCAAATCCATATATCCTACGGCCCGTCTCCCCATGTCACCTTCCTTACAGGAAACAGCCTGGGAGCCTGCACCTGACCAAGGGGTGACGAAGATAAAAAGTAAAGAGACACACAGACAGGTTAAAATCCGTAAGGCCAGGGGGCTCGTGTCTCTCTTCACCATACAGCCCCAAATGACTGGCTCCTTCGGCTTTATTCACTGACACGGGCACGGGCAATTACACTCCACAGGATTCACCTCCGCCTTCCACGGTACTTCTCAGGGTAAACAACCTAACCTTGGGTGTTTTTACTTTTCCCTGCAGCATGTTAGCACACGTGCATGGCCTCAGTCTTCCTATCTGATCTCCACACTTCCCCAGGCACAGAGCAGCTGGGGACCGACAGGATGGGGTGGGCTCTTTCACGGGCCAGGGAACCCTGTGCCCACCATGCATTACTCAGACTGCCAGGGCAAAATTACAGAAATTACAAAACATGAGCCTCGGCTGTGACCAGTCTAAGCCAAGATGTTACTTTCTTAAACAGCCATATTCCTTTCCACAATGGGCTTGGGGAGTAGAACCCTGCTCCAAGATGACCTTTATACCCCATGAAAAGCCTTCTCGCAGGTCCCCAGGGACCTCCTGTGTAGCTTCTAAGTGGACTTCTGGTGAGCAGCTTTCTGAGTTGTTCAACTACGTAGCCCAAGACTGAGGCTAAAAGAAAAAAAAAAAAAAAAAAAAAAA